TGCCTCTGGCCATACCAGGCACTAACACGCAGCCCCACCCTTGGCCCACGAGACAATGAGACATTCAAGCAAAGAAGACTGCCCACCTCTGACAAAAAGGTTGCCACGCCACGTGGTCTGAACTGATGCTGAGGCTCTTATACCTGTGAGTTCTGCCTGAACACATCTATTGCACTGTGTGTACTTGGAGAACTTGAATAAAATTGGGAAGGGGGGCAGGTAAGCCTCACTCTGCATAACCACAAGACACGGCACATGCACACCATTTGAATGGCAATCCCCATTGACTTTAGGGGTGCCCTGTCCCCTCAGATATTTTATTGGGAGTGTCGAAGGGACCCCAACCCCATATGCTTTGACATGTCCAGAATGCCTAGTCTGGACTTCCGGTCTGATCACAAGGTGGAAGCAAGCGGGCTTTCCCTCGGGAGAGGGAGGCCCGCTCTTAGAAGATAAAAGGGGGTGCCGTAGCCCCCAAAACCCCACTGAAAGAATATTCAGGGGGTCGGGATCCCAGCGCTGCGGCTAAGCGATTCCCCCGGCTGCCAGGTATCCTCTTTAAAGAGGAGACGAGAGCAGCGGGGTAGAAGGGCTAGCAGCGGGACGCCATTGCCAGCTTCTAGGAGCGAAGCCCTGAGCCTGCCCACTGGAGCGACCGGCTTTCCAAATTAAAAGGCATCGATTGGGGAACTTTGGAAATGACTAAATTTTGTTGATTTGGACCTAATTCGACGCAGACAAAGGGTAAACAGAAGGTCAACTTTGTCTGAAATCCGAAGCGCACACAGGGATTATTATCAGTGCGGAGCATAACTGTGAGTAAAAAACAAACAGAGGCTGTTTGGCAAGTGGAACTTTCTCGGTTTTTTGCTTTTATTCTCAGATATTTCTAATGGATTTACTTGAAGAATAAGACAGTGGGGGAAAGAAGATTGAGGGGATAGAGGAAATAATTTCCTTCTTTTTGTGTTGTGGAGGTTTAAGATGTCGAGAAAGGATCTTGAGTGCGGACTATTTTACTTTCGATTTTAAAAGAACTGCGCAATGAACTGGGAAGCTCCTATTTTTAGTTGTTTTTTCTACCCTTACTTTTGTAGCACCGTCTAATAAGAAGATAAGACTTATTTTTTATGTGTTTTTGCGGTGAGAGTGAACTTTGATATATTTGGGACATTTAATTGGATTTGCCGCTAAAGTTTTAATGGTGGGTGAAAGCCTGTCCCCCCCCACCACTCTCCTTGTTTAAGAGGAAGAAAAGAAACGGCATTTTAATTGATTTTTGGATAGACGGGCAGATTGGATTTGTGCTTTTTTCTCCCTATTTATCCTTCCCTCCTGGAACTTGGATTGGTTGTATTTTATTTTTTCTGGTGTTTCTCTGTTTTTGTTTTGACTTTTTGTTTGGGAGAATCTTTGTTTTTTCTCCTTGGGTTACTGTTTTTCTGGATTTAAAGGATTTAAAGGATTTTAAGTAGAACTGGTGTGTTTGCTGGCTGAGTGGTTTGGAATTATAAACATTATAATATTGGATTTGGCCATTCAAGTGGCGAGAAGAAGTGAAAATATTAATTGGTTTTGATTTTTAACCTCAATTTTTATTTCTTTGGTTACTGAACTGTTAATAATTATTGAGCACCATCTAGTGGATTACCATATAAATACAACCTCCACAGAATTGAATTTGGATTACAATTATATATTGCCCCCTAGTGGACAATTTTAGTGGTGCATTAAAATTTTAAATTTATAAGATGTCTCACACACAGAAGAAAGGGGAAGGAGGGACACCAGTAGAAAGAAAAAGTTTGAGGCAAGAAGCTGATATTAAAGGAGATTTAATAAAGATGTTTACAGAACTTATATCTGACCTTAAATCAGAAATACAAAAAAGTGAGAAAAATATTGAGACAAAATTGGAGCAGATGGACAAAAAAATTGATGTGTCTGTGAAAAAAATAGAGGAAACAGTTAATGAAATAAAGGGACAGGTGAAAGATATGACAAAAAGGACACAGAATCTGGAAGAAGGGGCAAAAAGGATTAAAACGGAGGTGAAGGAGATTCGAAAGGAGGAAGAGAAATTTAGAGCAGAAGTAGCAGAAGTCAATAAGACACTAGAGGATCTGTGGGACGCAATTGCGATGAATGAACTGAGACAGAAAGAAAACAATTTGAGATTTAGGATGGTGCTGGAGGCCCAAGGAGAAGAAATAAGGGAGAAACTGATCAAAGAAATCGCTATATGGTTAGAGATGCAAGAGGAGGACGTTGCAAGGACAATACAAAATGCTTTTAGAATCAAAGTTAGATCAACAAAGGCAAAGAAATTTCCAGGAGACTGTTTGGTTATATTTAAAGATAGAGAAATGAAAAATTTAATTTTACAAAAGAACAGGGAGAAAAGATTGAATATAGGTGGAAACTACATAATTATCTTTAAAGACGTCCCACTTTGGTTATTGAAAAAACGGAACCAATATCAACAGCTGGTGCAAGCCTTGAGGAAGAAGAAAATTGAATTCAGATGGGAATTCCCAGAAGGAATATCATTTGCCTACAAAGGAAAAAGACATATGCTAACAAGATTTGATGAAATGGATAAATTCCTGAGAAGATATAAAGAACTGGGAGGAGAAGACAAAGAGGCAGCACTGGCAGAGGCAGGAGCTGGAGGAGGAGGTCCACAAGAATCTGGAGAGGAGGGAGAAGAAAGGGAGGAAGAAGAGGAGAAATAAGATTTAAAGACTATTATTATAAATTAATCAGAAATCAATATGGCGTTTAAATTATGGACTTGGAATGTGAATGGGATGAATGAGAAAAAAATAGAAATAAAATTCAACAATATTTGAAAAAACAAAATTTAGACATTATTTGTTTACAAGAGACACATGTGATGAGGAAACACAGAAAAATCTTGATAAATAAAAAATTAGGAAATGAATTTATCTCATCGGATAAAACCAAAAAGAGAGGAGTGGTATTATATATTAAAAACAAATTAGAAGCACAACAAATTTTTAAAGATGAGGAGGGTAGAATTGTGGCAGTACAAGTTAAGTGGCAAGGTGAAAAAATAATAATTGTCGGAGTGTATGCACCAAATGAAAACAAAATGGACTTTTTCAAAGATTTAGAGGGAAAACTATTTGAATATTTGGATCAAAAGATTATAATAATGGGTGATATGAATGCAGTTGTGTCAATGGAGATGGACAGATTAAGAGCAACAGGTAAATCTAAAGAAGGAAAATTACCAAAGACATTCTTTTCAATGGTAGAGAACTGCAATTTAATAGACATTTGGAGACTGAAACACCCATTAGAAAAACAATTCACTTATGAGTCAGAGGCAAATCAATCAATGTCAAGAATTGATCAAATATGGATAACTAATGAGCTTACAACAAGAATTATAAAGATCGAAATTCAACCTAAGGTACTTTCAGATCATAACCCAATAAAATGTATTTTAAAAGGATATGAGAAAAAAGCTTTCCGGTGGAGACTAAATGAAAACCTTTTTGATGATCAAAAAGTTGCAGAAGAGGCACAAAAGTGCTTAAAGGACTATTTTCTAAACAATATGAATCAAGGAACAAAAATAAGCACTGTTTGGGATGCTAGTAAAGCGGTAATGAGAGGTTTCTTTATTCAACAGAATTCAATCAAAAATAAACTCAGAGAAAAAGGGAAAAAAGAAATCTTAAAACAAATAATGGAGAATGAGAAGAAATTGGTTAGTAGACCTGAAGATAAAAAGCTCAAATTGAACATCAAAGCATTACAAGCAGAATTTTCAATGATAATAAACAGAGGAGTAGAATGGAACATTAAAAGAATGAGACAAAGGAACTTTGAATTTGCAAACAAATCGGGAAAATTGCTAGCTTGGCAGATAAAAAAAAGGAAAGCGCAAAATACTATACATAAAATAATTGTGGAAGATAGACAGATTGATGATCCGAAAGGGATAAGAAAAGGATTTGTGGACTTCTATAGACAACTATACAAGAGAAAAGAAAAAGGGAATATCAAAAAAATAGAATATCTAAAAGAGAAAGGGGTACAGAAGATTCCGACAAAAGAAAAATGTAAACTAAATGAGATGATAGAATTAGAGGAAATAAGAACTTCAATTAAAGAATTAAAAAGTGGAAAGAGACCAGGACCGGATGGATTTAGTGCAAGATATTATAAAGAAATGAAGGACATCCTACTTGTACCTTTGAAAGAAGTCATGAATAATATTTTAACAAAGAAAGAAATACCAGAAACTTGGAAAGAAGCGTATATTACTTTGATACCCAAGCAGGATTCTGATTTAACTCAAGTTAAAAATTTTAGGCCGATTTCGCTTTTGAACAATTATTATAGGCTATTTGCAAATATATTAGCAAACAGGTTGAAAAAAGTTTTGAAGAAGCTATTACACAAAGATCAGGCGGGTTTTCTTCCAGGCAGACAAATGAAAGATAATATTAGGAACATAATTAATTTTATGGAATATCTGACTGCCAGGAATGATAAACAAGCCATGTTAATATTTGTGGATGCGGAGAAGGCCTTTGATAATATTTCTTGGGATTTTATGTTAAAAAATTTTGAAATGATGGAGATGGGACAAATGTTCTTAAATGGTATTAAGGCAATATATATGGATCAAAAAGCTAAATTAATAGTTAATAATATGATGACGGAAACCATAAAAATAACTAAGGGTACACGACAAGGCTGTCCTTTATCACCATTCCTATTTATTGCGGTCCTGGAAGTTTTCTTAAGGGCTATTAGAAGTAATGATCAGATAAAAGGAGTAACGGTGGGTGTGAAAGAATGTAAGGTTAAAGCTTTTGCGGACGATTTAGTATTAACTTTGGAAGACCCCATGAATACGGTAACAGAAGTGCTGAAAGAAATTGATCGGTTTGGTCAGCTAGCTGGATTTATTTTGAACAAGAAAAAAACTAAAGCAATTATAAAAAATATGGATCAGAAGGCAATCAATAGATTACAGCAACAAACAGAGATAGAAGTGGTCAAGAAAGTTAAATATTTGGGTTGTTTTTCTTGGTATATCATGGAGCCTCCATCATGTTGACCTGCTGTTATACAAGCAGCACCGCAAAATGGGCCAAGTGCATTCTTCGATATGGTTTGCAAAGGGCCAGGGCCAAGTTATCGGAAAGCAACTTCCACTGGATCTGTGACAATCCGTTTTCTTCAAAATGCCTCTACTAAATCCTGTAAGGGGGAGGGGGATAGATTGGGGAAGAAGGGAGAGTACCAAGCAGAAATTCAGATATGTCGGCTTCAGTCCTACAAAATAAAGGAGAGTCTTTATGGGCTTCATCAAAAGTTGATTTAGTCAGTATCCCGTGTCTGGCTATGGCTACCCTCTTAGAAACTCAAAACAAAGCAAGAAGTCAGCACCACCATTATTGGCCCCCAGAAGTGCTATTCAGAGATGTAATCTTCCAGAACATGTCACCAACTGATGCCACATGGCCATGCCAGGAAATGATGCCAGGCTTTAAAAAAACTGTCTCAAAGAACCAGTCACCACTGTGAGTGCAAATGGGCCTTTAAAAATCAGTTTTTTAGTGCATTTTTTTAAAAAAAATGCACATAAGAAACTGCCCTGCCAGATGGGTGGGGCTTAAATAATAAAATTATTATTATTATTAGTCTTGATTCCTCCAACCCTTCCTTTTTACTTACAGCTACAAGACAGAGGAGGGTGAATTAGCTGTCTCTGCTGGTCATTGGCTCTGGTCACTGGCCTACCTTCTGTAGGGCTGGCTGCCTCCTGCCCCATCAGCTGCAGTGGGCACCAGCTACCACTGAACTTCCCTCCACTCGCCTTGTCATCTATCCCTTTATAATAAAACTTGTCATTGTCAAGTAGGGGGAACAACACCTGAGAGGGCAATAAAATGAGCCATTTGCCATTGAAAAGTGTTTTCCCCATGCACTCTGATAGGAAAAAATCTCCCGAGTTTTCCCAGGAAAAGGTAGGATACATAGAAAGTCTTTGGGAGAATTTAGGATGGCCTACGTAATCCTCCATATTTCCACATCAGTTCGCATTCCTTTTTATAGAAATTATGAAAATTCACCAGAATTGTTTTTCCAATTTCTATGCAATTTCCCTAATATACATGACTTTGCAAAGCATTTCCCCCTGATATAATGAATTTTGTATGTTATTTTCACTGGTATATACATTTATATGCACACTTTAGCAAATGTATTTTTGTACACAGTACTTGACTGGAAAACTACATTGCAACATTCGGAGAAAGCAAATACAAATTTCAATGGATGACTGTACTTTGCTTCTCATATGAATTCAGAAGGTGTGAATTTGGCAAGTTCACCTTTACATGCAAACTGAATCAAATTCTGTTGTGTCACTAAACCTGAATTAACCCCAGCTCAGCTTGGTTTGAAGGAATAGAGTCCTAACTGCTTCGCAGCAAATCAAGCTCATTGATCAACTCATATTCCCAAAGCCACTTTTAAGTTTATTTTCATAACCCTGCACATATCAATGAACATTTATACACAAGCAGCAGCACCAAGAAGACGAGGACTGAGAAATGGTGGAGATTCTTCATGGTAGGAAATTGGGCTGAAGTTCTGTGTTGACTAAAAATATGGACTTGACTTAACTCCTGTCCAAATGGAAGTCTTAATTGCACTCCATTTATGCTAGTTGAACAAAACTGCTTGACTCTGGCTACATGGTTTCCTAAGTCTCATTAATTTTAATTGAATTTAAGCATTCAGTTGCATGTCTATACCATAAGGATATCCATGGAAAATAAAACCCATCTCTGAATTTTGTACTAAATCCAGCAGCTGTTTTTTTGAGTAGAGCAGCATAAAGAGAAGCATATCCTTGTATGCAATAATGAAGTAGCTAAAAAAGATCCTGGAGATCATACTGAGCTTCATCTGTATGAAGGATGTGGCTCAATATAAGGCAGCTTTTAAAAACACAGGAAATTCACTTACCAGTCAGACCACTAGTCCTTTTAGTTCAGCATTGCCTACAGTTTTTGCAATGAATCTCCAAGATGCCGGACAGTGGACAGCCCCAATGCTAGCTGGAGATGCCAAGGGTTGAACCCACAACCCTCTGCATATAAATCAGATGCTCTTGTCACTGAACTATGAGCCTTCCTGTGTTAAATATCATTTTACAAAATTCAGTACCATCACATCTCTTAGCCTATTCCAGTAATTAGCAGCACATATGTGCATGAAAGCTGTTTTCTGAATCCCTGTCAGTCATTATAGACAATACTCAGGTTGATGGACCAGCGGTCTAACTCTGGATTGGCTACACCTATACATGCTCCTTTGATCAAGAATTTAGCTGCAATCCTTCTCTGTTCTCTCTGCCCAGGGCAGCTGCTTCATGAACATAGTGTTGAAGGATGGCCTTGCTAAACAACTTAAACATGACAGCTTCCTTTACTAGAAACCTTGAAACAATGCAGATATGTAGAGCACATATTTAACTCTATTCCACCCCTTCCCTGAAACTTCTTTTCTGCTCTATGATGTATCAATAGGCAATAATGCAAGGAAATATGCTGTCTGAATCCTAATGCAAATCTATTTCAAATGATTGTAATGAAATAGTTGCCTGCAGCTACTTACCAAAGAGATGGGAAGACTCTGTTGCTTTCTGATTTTGTTTCTTATGCTCTTCTTTAGTCTTTTAATTACACTATTAATAGGTGTGCCTCTTTGCCTGAGCGATTTATGATTACCTGCTGGATCTTCCACCTCGGCAGCGTCCTCAAGATTTCTTAAACCATCATTATGCATTTGTGTTAGCAGATCAGAGCTAAATTTACCAAGAACGAAGTGTACCCGCTAAGTACCATATGTCCTTCACCTGGTAGGAAGGTAAACAAGGTCTGGATATTTAACCCCAATCTCTCAACTTGCCCTTGATAGGTCTTCCTGTGAAAGGGCAAAATTCCATTTCTAATAGATACACCCAGTTATTTCATTCAACTGCCATCATCACCACCATCTGAAATACAGTCTACATGTGACACTTTACAAAAATCCAATTGGCATTGAGATAACTGCATTAACTAAATATTGAAAGAGCTAAAGCTAACATTGCCTTTGAGGAATGGACTGTCCTCGGATTGGTTTATGAGGTGCGCATTTGATCCGCACAACAACCCTGTGAGATATGTGAGGCTGAGTGGCAATGAGTGGCCCTATGTCACCCAGTGAGTTTTATATCAAGTGAGGATTTGAACCCTGGTCCTAGAATCATAGAGTGGGAATGGACTCCAAAGGCCATCTAGTCCAGCCTCCTGCAATGCAGGAATCTCAACTAAAGCATCCAAGACTGATGTCCACCCAAGCTCTGCTTAAGAAACCTCAGTGAAGTCGTGCCCACAACCTCCTGAGTCTGTTACACCATTGAGCAGCTCTTAATACTTGAAAGTTGTTCTTGATGTTTAGCTGGAATCTCATTTGATCTGGACTAGTTAAGCTTGTGGTTTTCTAAGGCCTCTGCAACATTATCACATGCACTGCTAGCAAGCCAGCTACTGGTGCATCTGGTTATTCCTTCCTATATGTTCTCTTGCATTTCTCCTTTAGACAACTACTTCACCCTCCTCTGTCTTGAAGAGGAGAGTACCCACTTTGACAGTACCCACTTGCATTTTGAATTCTCATTCTGAACTGGCTGCAACATGATCTCCATCCTTGTAGACTGAGATTTATGGTTCTTCCAGGTTTTGAAGGTGCAACACAGCAGAAGCTTTTCATTATGCTATTTCTGATCACAATAAGGCTTGCCCCTCCTTTATCTCTTTTGTTTCACCCATGGCCTCCTTAAAAGAGTTAAACATATCTCTTTACTTCTGTGCTCATGCAGCATTGGATAGATCTGTCAATATCTGTTTTTTCAGCTTTCTAATGTGGCATGCAGTTCTCCACATTTCTGCACCAATTTACATTTTGTTTTAAAAAAAAGACTCTTGTGAAATTTCATCAGCGTCTTAGTGAAAATTTCTCATCATAAGCACACATTTGCCTGTAGTTTAATCTAACAAACAGAATTGTCCGAATGTATAGGAACTGACTCCAAGGGGCCAAGGCAGTTTCCTACAATTTTCAGAGGGCATTAGGCTCTGCCCCCTGGCTACTCAGGATGTTGTGCACACGATGTCAGATTGTTGTGGGATTCTGTGTCACCCCCTGCCATTCCTCTGGAGAAGCTGGCACCTCTACCCTAATAGAATGCATATTGATATGTTTGCATGCTGCTTGGATAAATATATTCATTTTCTGCACATTTTCTGCTGATATATGCCTTTTTGTAAATGTTTCATTGGAGAAGTGTGGTGTAAAATTTGGAGGGTTGGATATTTCAAAAGATGGATCTGTTTTGGTTCTTGTGTTGTTTCAGAAAGTGCAAAATTGGTTCAACTTTATTTTATTTGTTGGTTGGTTAGTTTGTTTACATTCGTATACTGCTCTTCATCATTCATTTTTAATGTTTGTATTGGTACCATCACCACATATTCCCCAGTAAAGTTGGGGCCAACAGTCTCCCTCCCCCCCAATTGTCCTCCAGGTTTATCACAGTTGTCTTTGGTAGAAATCAAATGCTAACATATATGTAATATGTCCAATTTATTCCCTAGAAAAGGAACAGGGTCATACCCATGCAGAGACTGTCGACCCCTTTGGATTGCAGACCATAGATGGGAGACCCCTGGTGTTGGGGAAGGTCTCCCATGCCACAGTACCTTTGACCATGGAGCTGCCTGGTCACAGAGAGCAAGCCACCTTCCTCTTAGCAAAGCTAGCCATGTACCCACTAGTTCTGGGGATGTTACAGTTGTCCAGACATGACCCAGTTATAGTGTGGGGGCAGCAATCCATAACATTTGCGTCAGCATATTGTCATCTCCACTGCCTAGATGACAAAACTCCAGTAGTAGCAGTGCTACTGGGACCTCTAACTGGTGAGGAAAGCCAATTGCCCCCAGAATACTATTCCTACTGAGATGTATTCTGCGAGAAGGAAGCAAACAAGTTGCCTCCCCATAGGCATTATGAGTGTAAAATATATCTCCTGCTGAGTGCTTGGCTGCCCACAATTCGATGTTGATGTCTGAGACAGAGCTGGATGCTTTAAGAGAGTTTATGGGCTTCATCAGACCTTCCAAGGCACCAGGAGGCTCTCCAGTGCTGCTTGTGGAAAAAAAAAGAATACCACTGAACTTAGATTATGCACAGATTACTGAAAAATCAATAGCCTAGTGGTACCCAATTGCTATCCCCTACCACATATTGGGGATTTGTTAGAAAGGCTGAGGTCAGCAAAGATTTTAATGAGGCTGGACTTAAGGGAGGCTTATAACTTGATCCGTGTGAGGGAGGGAGATGGGTAGAAAACAACGTTCTTCACCAGGTATGGCAGCTTTGAATACCTGGTCATGCCCTTTGGACTTCAGTCAGGGGCAGCAATGTTTCAAGCCTTCATCAACCACGTCCTCGGTGACCTGATGGATAAGTTCGTGATCAGTTACCTTGATGATCTTTTGATTTACTCTGAAAGCCAGGAACAGCACGTACAGCATGTGACAGAGGTGCTGCAGAGGCTGAGAGAACACTCACTTTATGCGAAATTCAAGAAATGCCAATTCCATGTTTCTATGGTAGATTTCCTGGGTTACCGTCTTACACAGGAAGGGCTGCACATGGATCTGGCTATGGTGCAGGGCATAGTGTCATGGCAAGAACGCAAGACAAATAAAGACCTGCAGCAGTTCTTGGGGTTTGCCAACTACTACCGCAAGTGTGTGCTAGCCTATTGAGACTCACAACACCTCTCATGGATTGCTTGAGGGGCAAGAAGCCCTTCCAGTGAACAGTTGAAGCACAACAGGTATTTGAGCAGCTCAAAACCATGTTCTCCTCAGAGGAATACCTAGTTAATGCCGACCCTCACCAGCCACTTGTCATGGAAACAGACACCTCTGACAGGGCAGTGGGGCGGTACTGCTGCAAGAGAACCAAAATGGCAACCTACACCCTTGTGCTTTCAACTCTAGGAAGCTGACTCATTTCGAGCAGAACTGTATCATTTGGGAGAAGGAGCTTTTGGCTATCTGAGAAGACTTTGAAGTGTGGAGACATTTCTTAGAGGGGGCACAACACCAGGTGGAAGTGCGCACTGAGCATCGGAATCTGAAGTATTGGCAGATGCAACGTCTCAATCAACGGCAGATTCATTGGGTGCAGTTCTTTGCCAGATTCGACTTTAGAGTGCATTATGTGTCTGGCAGTCAGAGTGAAAGATTGAATGCTTATTCCAGGAAGCCGGAGTATCAGGATGGTGAACCAATTCCAATTCCAATATATAGGCATATCTTGAAACTAGAGCAGCTACAGCTAGTGGCAGGGTCAGTCATCAAAGTCTCTGAATTTCAGCTAAAGACAAGGGAGGATGCTTTTGTGAAAGGCAAGTAAGAGGTGCTGCAGAATTCAATTTCTGGTGGAAGGCATAGAACTGGCAAAAGAATCAAAGTTCCTGGAAATGTTTCCTGTCCATTGCTTCCCCTCCTTTCAAACTAATCAACTTGGAAATGCCTAGCACAAATACCCTTGAACTTATTTGTTCACACACACACACACACAGAGAGAGAGAGAGAGAGAGAGAGAGAGAGAGAGAGAGAGAATGATCAGTTCAATGCACCTGAGGTTCCACTCATTCCATGGCATATGAGTACCAGGGCAGTAGATATATTCGTCACTCAAAATAGGGGACTGAGCAGGTGAGGCAACATGCACAAAGTGACTAGGGGCCAGCATGACTCCGTCTCCATCCATGGATTGGTCTTTGTGTTTTAAGGCAAATGCCTCCTCAGAATTTGTCTACCACTTTTTCTTTTCTTTTCTACAGGATTCTCCTAGGTATTTACTGCAAAGGAGTGTGATATAGCAGGAGGGCAATGCCAAGAGACCAACTGTTATGAGCCCCGGCAAAATTATGGGTGTGTGTGTGAGGGTCAAAGGATGTGCTGCCGCCTCCCCAAACCTATAAGAATGCTCCTCTTTTTGTCACCATATAGAGGTCTTCAAATCTCTGCTTGCAATGAACGTGGCTGCTGCTGGTAATTTTATCATGTACGAATGATCCAAGTGCTGGAAGAAAAGAAAGGGGCATGAGGAGGTGTGACCTAGTTCAGTCTGGCAAAACAGCTTACACTATGTTCTTAACCCCTTAATGCATTAACTAGAGCTGAAGCATGACACTTGGACTGACCTATTCCACACTTACATAAATCAGGGGGTTGGACTCGATGGCCCTTGTGGTCTCTTCCAACTCTATGATTCTATGATCAGCCTGGAAGAGGAGGCAGAGGGGCTGCCCCATAGTAGTTTGGAGGAGGCCTGAATGTTTTAGGCACATGCACCATTTGAATGACAATGCCCATCGACTTTAGAGTTGCCCTGTCCCCTCAGATATTTCATTGGGGGCATCAAAGAGATCCTGGACCCTTGGAAATAGTTCCTTTACTTGGACATGTCCAGAATGTCTGCTCTGTGCATATCATGGGGTAGAAAGTACTTTCAACCTTTCAAATTCAGGTCCAAAAGCCCAAATAAAACACAATGTTTTTGCATGGTGCCTAAAAATATATAAAGATTATGTTGGGTGAGCATTCCACCAGCAGGGAGCCACCCCTGGAAAGGCCCTTTCCTATGTTTCCACCCTCTGGATCACCCATGGAGGGGGCACTAAGAAAAACATCAATGAGTCTTTTGGCATGGCATACAATGTTTTGTTTATCTATTTATTTAAAGCGTTTAAATTGAGTTAGCTACTGACAGAACAATACTGAAAAAAAGAGCTGTGACACAACCGTACCTATAGTAAATTTCATTTTATTTATTTCTGCTGCCTCTGATCAAAGGACACAGTGCAGTGCAATGAAGCCAATCCACCTCTCTTCCCACTGCAGAACTGCACAATACCTGGTCCCTCCCTCCTCCCTCTGCATCTTTGGCAAGTGCCAGTGAGACTCTATTTTGAAGTTAGGAGAACAGTGATGCTCCACCACTGCTGCCCCACTGACTGCTACTGCCTTGCAAGTTGCAGCTATCATCTCCTCCTCCTCCTCCTTCAAAACATGTTTATTATTTTACATTCATTTACATTAAGATCACATAACATACAATTTACACCAGAATCTATTTATCTTGGCGACTTCCCTTCCTTACATCGGTGATGGGCTAATTCTCCCTCCTCCCTGCTGCCTGCCCAACCTTATCTATTGGCCTTAAACATATCTTACAATCTTTTACAAGGTGTGACTGTCTTCATGGCATGCACCAAATCTTGGGTTGGCAAAGGAGTGGAAGGTTGGGACACCATCTGCCAGTTTCAGGAACCTGGAGGATTATTCCAAAGAACAGAGACTCTTGCAAAAACCAACGGACGACACATCTTTGGGTTGTTCTTCTTGGTATATCATGGAGCCTCCACCATGTTGACTTGATGTCAAAACATGCAGCACCGCCTAATGGGCCAAAAGCATTCTCCAATATAGTATCCTAGGGGCCAGGGACAAATAAATGGAAAGCAACGACCTCTGGCTCTCATACAATCCTTTCTCTTCGAAATTTTTATACTAAATCCTGCAGGGGGGAAAAATAGATTGGGGAATAACTGAGAGTACCAAATAGAAATTCAGATATGCCTGCTTTAGTCATACAAAAAAATTATGTTTTGGTCATCATGATATTGCAACATTCAGGGAAAAACGCAAATACAAATTTCAACGGATGACTAATCTTTGCTTCTCATATGAATTCAGAAGGTGTTAATTTGGCAAGTTCACCTTTACATGCAAACTGAATCATATTGTCCTGCATCGCTAGACCTGAATTAACTCCAACTCAACTTGGTTTGAAGGAATGGAATCCTGGGTGCATCGCAGGAAACCAAGTTCATTGATCAACTCATATGCCCAAGGCCATTTTAAAGATTATTTTCATAATCTTAATTGATATATGCACATATCAAAGAACATTTATACTCATCTTACCTGGATCAACAAGCAGCAGCACTGAGAAGACGAGGACTGAGAAATGGTGGAGAGTCTTCATGGTAGGAAATTGGGCTGAAGTTCTGTGTTGACTAAAAATATGGAGTTGACTTAACTCCTGCCCCAATGGAAGTCTTAAGTGCACACCACTCATTTATGCTAGTTGAACAAAGTCCCATTAATTTTAATTGAATTTAAGCATTCAGTTGCATGTCTATACCATAAGGATATCCATGGAAAATAAAACCTATCTCTGAATTTTGTACTAAATCCAGCAGCTTTTTTTTTTTTTTTTTTTTTTTGAGTAGAGCAGCATAAAGAGAAGCATATCCTTGTATGCAATAATGAAGTAGCTAAAAAAGATCCTGGAGATCATACTGAGCTTCATCTGTATGAAGGATGTGGCTCAATATAAGGCAGCTTTTAAAAATACAGGAAATTCACTTACCAGTCAGACCACTAGTCCATTTAGTTCAGCATTGCCTACAGTTTTTGCAATGAATCTCCAGGATGTCGGACAGTGGACAGCCCCAATGCTAGTTGGAGATGCCAAGGGTTGAACCCACAACTCTCTGCATGCAAATCAGATGCTCTTGTCACTGAACTATGAGCCTTCCTGTGTTAAATATCATTTTACAAAATTCGGTGCCATTGCATCTTTTATCTAATCCCATAATTAGCAGCACATATGTGCATGCTAGGGACGCAGGTGGCGCGCCTCTGCGCCTAGGACTTGCCGATCGCATGGTCGGCGGTTCGAATCCCCGCAGCGGGGTGCGCTCCCGTCGTTCAGTCCCAGTGCCTGCCAACCTAGCAGTTCGAAAGCATCCCCGGGTGCAAGTAGATAAATAGGGACCCCTTACCAGCGGGAAGGTAAACGGCGTTCCGTGTGCTGCGCTGGCTTGCCAGATGCAGCTTGTCACGCTGGCCATGTGACCCGGAAGTGTCTGCGGACAGTGCTGGCTCCCAGCCTATAGAGTGAGATGAGCGCACAACCCTAGAGTCTGGCAAGACTGGCCCGTACGGGCAGGGGTACCTTTACCTTTACCTTTATGTGCATGAAATCTGTTTTCTGAATTCCTGTCAGTCATTATAGACAATACTCAGGTTGATGGACCAGTGATCTAACTCTGGATTGGCTTACACCTATACATGCTCCTTTGATCAAGGAATTCAACATGATGGCTGCTGGTTGTGCATTTCCCATCTGCATGCTAGGAGCTATATCCATAGAAGCCTAGTTCGATCATCTGAGTGATGTCTATTGCCAGCGAGAGATAGCGAATGGGAACTGAGTTTAGCTGCAATCCTCTGTTCTGCCCAGGGCAACTGCTTCATGCACATAGAGTTGAAGGATGGCCTTGCTAAACAACTTAAATTTGACAGCTTCCTTTACTAGAAACATTGAAACAATGCAGATGTGTAGAGCACAATTTTAACTCTATTTATCCCCCACCTTCTTCCCCCAAACTTCTTTTCTGCTCTTCATTGTATCAATAGGCAATAATTCAATGGAAGGAAATATGCTGTCTCAATCCTAATGCAATTATATTTCAAATGATTGTAATGAAATAGTTGCCTGGAGCTACTTACCAAAGAGATGGGAAGCCTCTGTTGCTTTCTGATTTCATTTCTTATGCTCTGCTTTAGTCTTTTAACTACACTATTAATAGATGTGCCTCTTTGCCTGAACGATTTATGATTACCTGCTGGATCTTCCACCTCGGCAGCGTCCTCAAGATTTCTTAAACCATCATTATGCATTTGTGTTAGCAGATCAGAGCTAAATTTACCAAGAACGGAGTGTACCCGCTAAGTACTATATGTCCTGCACCTGGTAGGAAGGTGAACAAGATCTGGACATTTAACCCCAGTCTCTCAACTTGCCCTGATAGGTCTTCTTTCTGTGAAAGGACAAAATTCCATTTCTAATAGATACACCCAGTTATTTCATTCAACTGCCATTCACCACCACCATCTGAAATGCAGTATAGCTGTGACAGTTTACAAAAATCCAATTGGCATTGAGATAACTGCATTAACTAAATACTGAAATAACTAAAGCTAAGTTTCCCTTTGAGGAATGGACTGTCCTCTGATTGCTTTACCAGGTGCACATTTGATCCACACAACAATCCTGTGAGATATTTGAGGCTGAGTGGCAGTGACTGGCCCTATGCCACCCAGTGAGCTTTATATCAAGTGAGGATTTGAACCCTGGTCCTAGAACCATAGAGTTGGAAGGTACCCCAAAGGTCATCTAGTCCAACCTTCTGCAATCTTCTTCTTCTTTAGTGATCACTCGTAGCTGAGTAAGATTGTCTTCCATATCCTTGGTTGTGGAGGATATAATGAGTCCATAAGCAACTGTGGAGGCCAATTCTGAATCCTCACGACCTTCCATAGACATTGGTTTCCGGGCGGGAGTTGATCACGGTGTGGATTTGCCAAGAGTGCCTTCCTCTTAGTACGTTTCTCCCTTGCGTCCTGAGTTTGAGTGTCTTCAAAGCCCATGACACCCTTGGTAAACTTGAGCACTTGCAGGCCAGTGTTTCCCAGTTGTCTGTTTATACAACCTTTTTTAAAGATTTGCTTGAGACAGTCTTTAAACCTCATTTATTGACTACCAGCATTACGCTTTCCATTTTTCAGTTCGGAATAGAGTACTTGCTTTGGAAGAGGATCATCAGTCATCCGCACAACATGACCAGTCCAACAAAATTGATGTTGAAGAGTCATTGCTTCAACACTGGTGATCTTTGCTTCTTCCAGTACACTGATACCATTTCGCCTGCCTTCCCAAGTGATGTGCAATACAGGAATCTCAACTAAAGCATCCAAGATGGCCACCCAACCTCTGCTTTAAAAACTTCAGTGAAGCAGTGTCCTCAACCTCCTGAGAGAGTCTGTTACACTGTCGACTTACTGCCATAAAGTTATTCTTGATGTTTAGCCGGAATCTCCTTTGATCTGGACTTGTTAAGCTTGTGGTTTTCTAAGGCCTCTACAACATTTTCACATGTACTGCCAGCAAGCCAGGTGTCCCCCATTTTATATTGGTGCATCTTGGTTATATTGGTTATTCCTTCCCTATATGTCCTCTCCCATCCCTCCTTTAGCTTTGAGAGTACTTAGTTGCACTTGAACTATCTGCAACAAGAACTCCATCCTTGTGAGACTGAGATTCATAGTTTCTCCACATTTTGAAGGTGCAATTTGCACAGCAGAAGCTTTTCATTCTGCCATTTCTGATCACAATAAGGCTTGCCCATCCTTTATCTCTTTTGTGTCACCCACGGCCTCCTTAAGAGAGTTAAACATATCCCATTACTGCAACATTGGATAGATATGTCAATATCTGTTTTTTCAGCTTTCTAATATGCAGTTCTCCACATTTCTGCACCAATTTACATTTTTTTAAAAATCTCTTGTGAAATTTCATCAGCGTCTTAGTGCAAATTTCTCATCATAAGCACACATTTGCCAGTGGTTTAATCTAACAAACAGAATTGTCCCAATGCATAGGCACTGATTCTAAGGGGCCAAGGCAGATTCAGTTTCTTACAATTTTCAGAGGGCATTTGGCTCCGCCCCTGGCTACTCAGGATGTTGTGCACACGATGTCAGGTTGTTGTGGGATGCTGTGTCACCCCCTGCCATTCCTCTGGAGAAGCTGGCACCTCTACCCTAATAGAATGCATATTGATTTGTTTGCATGCTGCTTACATAATGTGCATTTCTGCACATTTTCTGCCTTGTTGCAAATGTTTCATTGGAGAAGTGTGGTGTAAAATTTGGAGGGTTGGATATTTCAAAAGATGGATCTGTTTTGGTTCTTGTATTGTTTCAGAAAGTGCAAAATTGGTTCAATTTTATTTTATTTCTTGGTTGGTTGGTTGGTTGGTTTACGTTTGTATACTGCTCTTCAGCATTCATTTTTAAAGTTTGTGTTGGTACCATCGCCACATATTCCCCAGTAAAGTTGGGGCCCACAATCTCCCCCCCCCCAATTTTTTTTCCCCTCCAGGTTTATCACACTGTTGTAGAAATCAAATGCTGACATATACGTGATATGCCCAATTTATTCCCTAGAAAAAAGGGGAGTTATTTCAAGTTTCTTTTCTTCCAGCACTTGGATCATCTGTACACGATCACATTACCAGTTGCAGTCACGTTCATTGCAAGCAGAGATTTGAAGACCTCTATATGGTGGCAAAAAGGGGGGCATTTTTATAGGTTTGGGGAGGCAGCAGTGCATCCTTTGACCACCACACACTCCCCCATAATTTTGCCGGGGCTCATAACAGTTGGTCTCTTGGCATTGCCCTCCTGCTATATCACACTCCACTGCAGTAAATACCCAGGAGAATCCTGTAGAAAAGAAAAGAAAAAGTGGTAGACAAATTCTGAGGAGGCATTTGCCTTAAAACACAAAGACCAATCCATGGATGGAGACGGGGTCATGCTGGCCCCCAGTCACTTTCTGCATGCTGCCTCACCTGCTCAGTCCGTGACCTCCATGTTTTGAGTGACAGATATCTCTGGTGCCCTGGTACTCACATTCCATGGAATATGAGTGAAACGTCAGGTCCATTTGAGGATCCTGATCATTCTAAATCATTTGAGGAAATAGTAGCATGATCCAAGCAAAGAGAAATTTATGCTCCGTGTGTGTGTGTGTGTGTGTGTGTGTAAAGAAATAAGTCCAAGGGTATTTGTGCTCGGCATTTCCAAGTTGATTAGTTGGAAAGGAGGGAAAGCAACAGAAAGGAAACATTTCCAGGAACTTTGCTTCTTTTCCCAGTTCTATTCCTTTCAGCATGGTAAACCCAGCCAGATGGGTGGGGTATAAATATTATTATTATTATTATTATTATTATTATTATTATTATTAAATTGAATCTGACTGTGCTCATTCATGCACCAAGTGTATCCAGCTTAGATTATTGTAACAGACTTAGTGAAGAGGGTTTGCAACCAGTCTGTTGCCTGAAAATATAAGTCAAGTGTTATTTCTGCAGCAGTGATAGTCATTTTGCATCTAGACATAGGTAGGTAAAGGTGAACAATGTAACCCAATCAAACTGCTTAACTCAGTGTTTGTTCCTAGCAGATTAGTGCTAGGTACAATCCAGATCAGTTCATGTAGAATCTTTCCCCACTGCCATTTCCAGATCTCAGCAGCAGTGAGGCTTGGAGTGGCGTTTCAATGGTAAACTGGACATATCACCAAGCCTATGATCTAAGACGCATGTTTCCACTCAAATGCCCAACTTCATTTTTTTTAAAATGATATTTATTAAAGTTTCCATAAAAGATTAAACATAGAACATAAAAAAGAAATACACAATTCAAAAAATACACAATACATAATCCAAAAAAGAAAAAAAGAACAAAAAACAAAAGACAAAAAAGAAAAAAAACCAGTTAAAAACAATATCACCTTTTCATCTCCATTTTTAAATTTACTTATTTTCTGGACCTCCTCATACCTCCCTCCTTTGTATTCCAGTTCAAATTGTTTGTCCAGCAATTTCTTTCCCTCTTTTTTAATCGCAATCTTTAATCTTAATATAATATAACATTAAAATTTTACCTCTTAAAAACCAAATTTCCATTTCCTTAAACTTTTTTAATCCTAATCCTTAATCTTAATCTATCTATAACTTTAAATCCTGTACAGCTGGAAGCCACTTATTTTCAATCCAACATCACTCTAACATTCTTTAATTTTGCAGTGTTTCTGTAAATAATCTTTGAATTTCTTCCAATCTTCCTCCACCGACTCTTCTCCCTGGTCACGGATTCTACCAGTCATTTCCGCCAGTTCCATATAGTCCATCAGTTTCATCTGCCATTCCTCCAGTGTGGGAAGTTCTTGTGTCTTCCAATACTTTGCGATGAGTATTCTTGCTGCTGTTGTTGCATACATAAAGAAAGTTCTCAAATGCCCAACTTCATGCCAGATGCAATGGCTCATCCAGTCAGGGGTACCAACTTGAATAAAATATGGGGGAGGGCAGGTAAACCCCACCCCTTATAATCAATCACATCACATGGCACACGTACAACACTTGAATGGCAATGCCCATCAGTGCGGGGGCATGGCCTCTTCAAATATTTCATTAGGAGAGTCGAAGGGACCTCGGCCCCTAGGACTGGCTCCTATGCATCCAGTTCTAGAATTCCAATATCACTGATACTTTGGAAGATTTGAATTACCAGATAGTTAAAATGTATTGTTGCCCACAGAAAGAGCAAGTTCCTGTCACCCACCTGCAAAACAAATTTCACCTAGTAGTAAAGGTAAGTACCTTTTTAAAATACCTATTATTATGACTATTGATTAACATAATCTCCTGCTAAATGAGAGGGACTGTCCCATTATTTTAGCAGGGCATCCAGTGCATGTTTTCTGTCAGGGTTCCTAATGGTCATCACAATGATTCTGAATCATAGGCTGCATAGGCCTGAGGTTCATGGTTTCACTGCGTTTCTCAACTTGCCATTCAAATATTTGAAGCTTTTCATTCTGCCACATCTGCACGCAACAATATTTGGGCAAAACTTATCCTATTGTCTCTCTGAGTCAGGGTGAGGGTTTAGCAGAAACAGAAATCGCACCATTTTGATAGGGACTTTTCCAGACCCTCCAAGTGTCCCTGTTTTCCAGGAACAGTACCGGATTTACCTTTTTCTGATTTGATTCTGGAATGTTCCACTTTTCCTTAGGATGTCCCTATTATCACTGAAAAAATGTTGGAGGATATAGAGTCATGCAACCCCTGAGCCAAGAAGATAAGTAACTATACAGTGGTACCTCGGGTTACATACGCTTCAAGTTACATACGCTTCAGGTTACACACTCCGCTAACCCAGAAATAGTGCTTCAGATTAAGAACTTTGCTTCAGGATAAGAACAGAAATCATGCTCAGGCAGCGTGGCAGCAGCAGGAGGCCCCATTAGCTAAAGTGGTGCTTCAGGTTAAGAACAGTTTCAGGTTAAGAACGGACCTCCGGAACAAATTAAGTACTTAACCTGAGGTACCACTGTACAACCTTTAGAAGACAACTGAAGGCAGCCTTGTACAGGGAAGTTTTTTTAAGGTTTTATTATGTTTTTATATATGTTGGAAGCTGTCCAGAGTGGCTGGGACAACCCAGCCAGATGTGTGGGGTATCATCACCATCATGGAATAGGATGTCCCTATTTTCATCAGAGAAATGTTGGAAGGCATGCTTTTCTCTGAAAGTTTTACTTTGACCTGCCAGGATTAGTGTTAGCCTGCAGAGTTCCTTGTCTCAAATAAAGGGGGTCAGCTGAATATTCCAGCCTGAATATTATCTCTGATCAATAAAGAGATCTGGCTTTTCTGAAATCCTGGCTATTTCATAAGCCAGCTATACCATAGAAATGTGTGTAATGAAGCCCCCAAACCCTTATTTTGTTAAAAGAAAAGCTGATTTAGGGTGAGGCTGATTTATACCACAGCCATGGTGGTGGAGAAGCTGACTGTTCCTTTCCTGTTCTTGCCACTTCTCCTCTTCATGTTGTTGTTGTTTAGTCATTTAGTTGTGTCCGACTCTTCGTGACCCCATGGACCAGAGCACACCAGGCACTCCTGTCTTCCACTGCCTCCCGCAGTTTGGTCAAACTCATGTTACTGGCTTCGAGAACACTGTCCAACCATCTTGTCCTCTGTCGTCCCCTTCTCCTTGTGCCCTCCATCTTTCCCAACATCACGGTCTTTTCCAGGGAGTCTTCTCTTCTCATGAGGTGGCCAAAGTATTGGACCCTCAGCTTCACGATCTGTCCTTCCAGTGATCACTCAGAGCTGATTACCTTAAGAATGGATAGGTTTGATCTTCTTGCAGTCCATGGGACTCCAAGAGTCTCCTCCAGCACCATAATTCAAAAGCATCAATTCTTTGGCGATCAGCCTTCTTTATGGTCCAGCTCTCACTTCCATACATCACTACTGGGAAAACCATGGCTTTAACTACAAGGACCTTTGTTGGCAAGGTGATGTCTCTGCTTTTTAAGATGCCCCAAATCCCCAAGGGTTCCAACAGTTTATGTGAAAGCCAGTGTTTCATGTTGCCAGCCAGTCACAAAATACAACATTTAAACAATATGACTGAAGAATTCAGAATCAACGAATTTTATTGACCAAATTTAGTTAAGGGAACATTTACTGAATTCTGCTACTACTTTGAAAACAAATACAGAGAATTTTATATTTTGATTGCTGCATAGATCACAACTATATGCCAGCTGTCAGATACAATCAACTGCTGTCTGAAAAGAAGTCCAATTCTGGAGGCTACATAATGCCTGCTGTCAGATGCTTGTCCCTTATGACCAAATCTTCCAGTATGAGATGTTTATGTCAAATGTCAGTTAACCAGCAAATGTTAAGAAGATTCTTCTAGATTATTCATAACAGCAATGGAGATTTCCCAGGTTTCTTTGATTCTGGTATTTCCCCCCTAATGCTGCAATATTAGCTACATCTACCTTCATTGCAAGCTGAGATTTGAGCTCCTCTAGATTTTGGGGTTGGCAAAGCCGCGCCACAATTTGCTGCTATTGAGAGCCCTGAAGTTGATTCAAGCAAATACCTATACAGAATAGGTCTTGCACAAAGACATGGAGCACATATGCTTCAAGTCTATCTTAGTATTTTTCTACTTTGTGGGTAGACAACAGACTATTGTATACATATGACACATTCCTCCATAATAACTAGAGGGCCAATCACATTCACGTGGTTTGCATTGTCCTTTGGCTTGATAGCAGTGCTTTTCATTCGTAATGGTAGAGAATCCTGTAGAAAGCAACAAATATGACAAATGATTTCTGAGTAGGCATGCTACACATTTGCCAGAAGACATGAAGCCTGGCCCATGAATGGGGATCCATACATGCATTCAGGTGATGTTTCCAATGTCCTGGTGGGTTTTGCCCCAGCTGGTCAGTCCCTGACCTCCTCTGTTTTAAGTGATGAAGATCTACAGTGGCCTGTTACTCACATTCACTTGAATGTTGGGGAGGAGGGGGAGGAGGGAATTTCATATATTTGAGGACCCTGATGGTCCTCAATCAGCAATGGTGTTAAGCAGCACCTTCTTCCACCAAGAAAACAGAAGTGAATGCTCCAGATATTGGTTTCTCTCTCTCTCTCTCTCTCTCTCTCTCTCTCTCTCTCTGTTTGTGTGTGTGTGTGTGTACCTTGCAGAAATGAAGAAAGACTTTGGGTGAATTTGTATGTTCAGGGTTCCAAAGGGTTGGGTAATAATAATAATAATAATAATAATAATAATAATTTATTCATACCCCACCCATCTGGCTGGGTTTCCCCAGCCACTCTGGGCAGCTTCCAACAAAGTATTAAAATACAGTGGTCTGTTAAACATTAAAAGCTTCCCAAAACAGGGCTGCCTTCAGACGTCTACTAAAGAATTTGGTCATCTTCCTGCTGTACCAGTCCTATTTATTTATTTATTTATTTATTTATTTATTTATTATTTACATGTCTCTGAATCATCTACCCCCATAAGTCCATCATTCCATGCTGTCAAGGAGCTCTCAATGAGCCATGTCATCCACAGGGCAGGCGCACACAGAGAAAGCACGGGATGCAATTAGTGTTTTATTAGCGGAAAACAACAATACAGCAGTGTCCCTGGTTCGTCGTAACTCAATGAAGGCATTGCTGAAACTAAGCTCTATGTATGCCTTTCCCCTCTAGCTTCTCACTCTGGATCCTACCAAGCAGGTGAAGGTTGCATTGAGGGGGGTGAGCTCTTTCTCTGCACTCATCTGGCTCATTGCTTCAAGCAGTGGGTCAGAGTAGGAGGAGAGTCAGAGAGTCAGCAGGACTGAGAGAGTCTGTGTGCATGCTGTGACTCTCAGCTTCTAATCCTGTCCTGGAAGACCCTCCTTCTCCTGACCCCCCTTGACTGCTCAAGTCTCCTGCTTGTCCCCTCTGCTGACTCATCCTCAGTGTCCCACCACCAGGCTCTGGGCTCTAAGATGTCATATTTGGAACCCTCCCTGGGGGGCTATTGAGAGGCAGGTTCCCAGCAATCTTTTTCATCCTGCCAGACCCTGACACATGCATATCTTACCTGGATCAGCCAGTAGAAGTATCAGGGAGAGGAACACTGAGAGACTGAAGAAAGAGTTCATGGTGGAACATTTGTTGAAAAATCTGTTGTAGGTGGAAGAGAGGAGCTGGTTTAACCCTTCATCCACATGTGGAACCCTTGAGTGAATCTTTCTCATTGGTTTGGATATCCCCCCCTCTACCAATCTGGTTTACAATGAATGGTTGTTGAAAGAGACATACAATATATATACTTTAGATATTGTACTTATTTATACCTACAGTTTCCTGCCAACCTAGCAGTTCGAAAGCATGTCAAAATGCAAGTAGATAAATAGGTACCGCTCTGGCGGGAAGGTAAACGGCGTTTCCGTGCGCTGCTCTGGTTCGCCAGAAGCGGCTTAGTCATGCTGGCCACATGACCCGGAAGCTGTACACTGGCTCTCTTGGCCAATAAAGCGAGATGAGCGCCGCAACCCCAGAGTCAGTCACGACTGGACCTAATGGTCAGGGGTCCCTTTACCTTTATACCTACAGTTACATACCAAAGAAATGGAAAGCCTCTGTTCCTTTTGATTTAACTTCCTTCCTTGTGCTCTTCTTCAGCCTTTTAATCTCACTGTTACATGGCATCCCTCTTTGACCAAACTGTTTATATTGATCTGGAGAACCTGCCTGACTGTGGACTTCAAAACCAAAACACGGAACATGACGAAAAACTAGATAAACCCACTTTTCTTCAATAATCATTATATGAGATAAGGATCAATGTTCCTTCTTAAGAACCCTACATCCTACAACTTGGAGGTACTTAAGGAACTTGCTTAAAATATTTTTGTTTCAGCAGTGTATTCAGGCATTTAGCAGTTACATGTGTTTTATCTCATTTTAGGTACACTTGGTTATAATTATCTTTTGAAGGTTTATTATGATCTGAAGGATCTTCCAACTGGGCAGTCCCTCTGGATTGTGATCTCACATCAAAAATGAGGAATACTGCAGAGTAGGTAGAGGCAGCGTTACTAATCTCCCTTAATTTATTTCATTAATTCCTCACCGTAAGAACTCAGACCATTTTCTGTTAACGTTTCTTTTTGAATAAGTATGTTATCCTGGATTATACCGGACTGTTACAGATTTTCTTTATTTACTGTAGATATCACATCACTGACGCTCTTCATGGTTTAAAGAGTTGTTGTTGTTGTTGTTGTTGTTGTTAACCTTGCAAATCTGTTGTACTAATTAATCTTATATGTTTGGCATTTATAGAAACATTATTTCCAGAGTGTGTAATGAGGATGCATGGTTCCCTCAAGTATTCTCCATGTGTTCATTAGAATGGTTTTATATTGCTTGTTTTAATGCTTTAGCTGTAGCAATAATAATAAAAGTGAGGAACCATGATGTACTTCTGTATTGTTGCACTATTTCTTAAACCTATCATTATGTATATTTTTAGCAGATCAGAGCTATGTACAAACAATGTCATGTAGCATCTTTCCCACAGTCATTTCCAGACCCCATTTTCCATGTTTATGCCAATGACAAAAGGAATTGGAGTGGTATGTACTATGGATTTATAAAAGCAGGGAAAGCAAACTATATCCACTTCAAGTATTGCCAGCTCCCCAACTGAAAAGGGGGTGTTTCCATCCACTCACCACATCTGCATTGCAGCTGCAAAAGAAAAGACTCTCAGTCAAATAATTACAATATTGCTGTTAATTTGACGTTTTAGATCAGCATAACAGTTAACATCTGTTACGACCTATTGATAGAATCAGTTGACCCCAATTAAAATTTCTTGTAGTGGCACGACCACTGATTGAGCCCAATTTATCTTCTATCTCTTTTTTTATAATAATTTTTATTCATTTTAAAACATATAAATTGTCATACATTCCACAAAATTTCATCTCTTATACAATCTTTTGGACTTCCATCAGCACCTCTGATGAGCTCCCATTTTTATAATTTCTCCTGCATTTCTAAAATTCATATTGCCTTTAAGTATCATAACTAATGTCATCCTTTTCATTCAATAATGCAATAATTCAAATTATTCCCCCTACAAAACTTCCTGCAAACCTACAGATGTACTCTGGTCATCACAATTACTTTTCAAATAGTCCATAAATTTATGCCAATCTTTTGTGAATTTCTGGTCCCGCCAGTTTTGAATTCTTCCCGTTAATCTAGTTCTGCATAGTCCATCAGTTTCATCCTCCAATCTTCTTTCGTCGGTAATTCTTCTTGCTTCCACTTTTGTGCCAATAATATTCTTGTTGCCATCATTGCATACAAAAACAGTTTACAATCATTTCTATTTATATCATCCCTACAATGCCTAGTAAAAAAAAAAAAATCTTCTATCTTAGCTAGGATGGGTCTCAACCCATTGTCACTGTTTGTTTAATGTCCATGGTTCTCGCCATGACAGCTCAGTACATGACCAACTGTTCTGGGAACAGTATCTATAAATTTCACCACTTCTTCATGACTTGAACATGTATGTAGCCAGTCTTTGTGAGGGTAGCTGAATGCACTGACTACTACAACATTTCCTCTTTTGGATGGTTCCTTGATTTCATATACTGATTTCCACAACTCAAAAAATGCCTGAGCATTTTGATCGGGAGATCATAGCATGTCCCCATTACTAAATTTCTCTTGGTGCCCAGGAGATTTCTAGCTTGCGGGACCCAATGCTTTCTTTGTGGTACAGAACAACACTGCCTCCAATACATCCTTTATAGAGAGTTTAAAATGAAAGATAACCGTGTCCTACTGTGTATCTTCATTCTATCTATTTCAATTGTGCCTACTATATCAATGTTGTCCTCTAAGAACAAGCATTCCAGTTTGCCCATCTTGGCTCAAAGCCTTCTAGCAAAGTTTCTTGCCTCAAAGAGAAGAGTCTGTGTGGTCTCATCTGTAACTACTCCATTTGAAGATAGCTCCTCTCATCAATTTACAGATCTAGTTTTCTTAAACCATACCCCTATTTCAGGAGCCAGCTAAACCACCAAAATCGATGTCATGAAACTCTTGTTTTGTCATAAGAAAACCCCAAGAAGGATACATGTGGTCATCTAGGCAGAACCGATCTTGCACAAACACACATGACACATTGTTAAAAGAGATCTTAGTATTCCCCCCCCCCCGAATTGTGGAGCCTCTGTCTATATGATCTCCTGTCAAAATTTGCAACAGACCAGAATATGGTAATTACAGCTCCCAATGTGATAGAAGAAGGAGAAGAAGAGTTTGGATTTGATATCCCTTTAAGGAGTCTCAAAGCGGCTAACATTCTCCTTTCCCTTCCTCCCCCACAACAAACACTCTGTGAGGTGAGTGGGGTTGAGAGACTTCAAAGAAGTGTAAGAAGTGTGACTGGCCCAAGGTCACCCAGCAGCTGCATGTGGAGAAGCGGAGACGCGAACCCGGTTCCCCAGATTACGAGACTACGGCTCTTAACCACTACACCACACTGATAGGGTTGGGGCAAACGACAGAAAACTTCTTGGCAAAGTCCTCCAGCAGCATGGCACTCCCATCTCCTCGAAATCCTATAAGAGAATGCTATGGAAAAGAAAAGAAGATGGTAGACTATCTCAGAAGATTATATGCTACATGCTCTTATGAAACCTAATCCATGGAGGGAGACAGGGCTGTGCATTGAATAGGCTCAAGCTCGGCCAAAATAATAATACCAAAAAAAAACACAACCCCAAATTCCTGAAAAATTGTCTGGAGGAGGCATGCCACATACTAGGCTGAACTCATGAAGCCCAATTCACAGATGAGGACAGGGGCGTGCATGGAAGCCATGCTCTCAAAGTCCCCATGCATGTTGCCCACATGCTCAGTCCATGACCTTCCCTATTTTGAAGGTCAACACCCACCCACCTACAAAATTTAGAAGGCCATAGATTGCTTAATTAACCAGAGCCAAAGTCTTGTAAATATTCCCATAAATTCTTCATTTCATACATTGCTTACCTAGACCAACCAGTAACAGTTTCAGGGAGAAGAGAACTGGGAGACTGGAGAAGGTCTTCATGGGGGCAGTTTGACTGAAAAAGCTGTTTATAAGAGAAGGCACACAGTTGACTTAACCCTTGCTTCAACTGTGGTACTGTTAAGTGTTAACTTTGTAATGTTACAGGGAAACAGGCAGGGGGACTTCTCCTCCCATCAGATGTCAAGTAGATAAATAATTATACCACTTTTAGAATACACCTGAAGGCAGCCTTATATCGGGAAGTTCTTAATATTTAACATTTATTAGAGATGCTAGACAGCATCTTAAAAAGTAGAGACATCACCTTGCCGACAAAAATCCATATAGTAAAAGCTATGGTTTCCCCAGTAGCGATGTATGGAAGTGAAAAATTACAAGTGAATATTAACACCAAGGCAGTTTTGATATTTGTGGACGCAGAGAAAGCTTTTGACAACATTTCTTGGAGTTTCATGAAGAAGAATCTACAGGGGATGGGGGTAGGCCAAGGCTTTGGAAACGGTATAAGTGCAATTTATTCAGAACAAAAGGCTAAATTAATTGTTAATAACGTGGTGACGGAGGAATTTAAGATAGAAAAAGGGACACGACAAGGTTGCCCAATCTCCCCATTGCTTTTTATATCGGTCCTGGAGGTCCTGCTGAACACGATTAGAAGGGACCAATTGGTTAAAGGTATACAAGTAGGAGCTAAACATAGAAATTGAGACCATTTGCAGATGACTTAGTACTGACATTACAGGAGCCAGAATCTAGTACCAAAAGAGTTTTGGAACTGATTCAAGAATTTGCTGAGGTTGCAGGATTTAAACTGAATAAGTCAAAAACAAAGGTCTTAGAGAAAAAATTAACAGCGATTGAGAGAGAGAGAGGTTTCAGAATGAAACAGGTTTAACAGTGGTTAAGAAAGTGAAATACCTGGGGATTAACATGACAGCTAAAAATGGGAATCTATTTAAAGACAATTATGAAAAATGCTGGACTGAAGTGAAAAAAGATTTAGAAATCTGGTCAAATTTGAAGCTTTCACTGCTAGGCCGTATTGCTGCGATAAAAATGAATGTATTGCCTAGAATGTTGTTTCTGTTTCAAACATTGCAAATTTTGGATAAAATGGATTGCTTCAAGAAGTGGCAGAGAGATATTTCTAGATTT